GTGAAGATTGTGGATTTGGTGTTTCTCCATGAAGTAATTTTTTGCCAGCTCTGTGCTGTTTACATGAAAACTTTTTTCCCTGTCTCAGCTGGCTGGGCCAAAAAATGTAAGTGATTAAACAAAAGAAAATCAAAAACATTTTTTGCTGGATAGAGTTGGGAGAAGGAGTTTCAGTTAACCCTTTGCTTCTCTCTAAATTGAATAATAAAAAAATGAGTTTGTCTTCTTAAAAGTTGTGTCACAATATATTATTTTACTGTTTTAAACCAGCTGTCCTCTGCTTTACCTTTTGTTCTCTGGAGATGTACCATTTTGTTTTATTGACTCACTTATTTCTCACTTAACGCTGTTACGTATTACAGGAGTTTTTTGAGCCCTTCAAAGTCCTTCAAAGCTAATACCTGCACTGGACTGTTGTCTTTATTTTGCCATTAACCGTGATGATCTTTAGGCTAAGGAATTGACTATGTCAGGAATTCATGACGGCTACCTTGCAAAAGTTATTTATAACCAGACTGAACACTAGTATGGGCTCCAAAAGAGGCGAGCATGGTCGCTTAACTGTTTAGTTTTGGTTTTAATGCTATTTATCCTTGCTGAGTTGAACTTCATCTTACACATATTACTGACACACATAGCTTTTTGTATGTTTTTTTTAAATTCCGTAGAATTCTTTAGAATAGGGAAAATGTTAGGAGGCATCATTTAAAGATTAATATTAATAATTCCCTTATCCTGAGCCTCCTTCCTGAATTTACACTTTGTTTACTAATTTTAATCTTCGCTTCATTAAGCCCATTTCTAAAAGAGCAGAACTCTGCAGGAGATCCAAACTTAGCGTTACACCTGTGTGCATTTTTGTTACTCACATTTCATCCAGATGCTTCCTTCATGCTAGGAAAATACAAAGGAATCTATTGTTGAGAGACTTTGTAGACTCCATATGTGCTAATAAAGGTTTTGAGAGGTTTGGAAAATATAATGCAGTGGTTGGGGTTTAAGATTCAGGAATCTGAATTACATTAACAAACTTCAGAGTCATACTTGTTTAAGTTTCTTTTCGTAACTGCTGATACTGGTAGTCCACAAGAATAATTCCAGTGGGTTTAAGATTAATTTAGGACAAAGGTGAGTATGGGGAGAGAGAAATTACAGTAACATTTATTTTACTGCCTTTTTTTCATGGATTTAGCACAATTTCCACTGAGATACAAACTATTTACAAAACAGTTGCTAAATAAATCTCCCAGTGAGACATGGATGAAACTCTATAGCGCTAATGTTTCCATTCACATCAATGAGATGTGTGGTGTGCTGGCCATCTGTTATATAAACCTGAATAGGATCAGAAATCCTTAGGCCAAAGACCTGATTTTTTTGTGCCATCGCTTTTATGGAGGTGTGCCATAAAAATGGCCATGTGCTGGCAACCTGTGCAACTGGACCCCTTTAAATCTGTGTAAAAGTGATGACATCTCAAGCACCTCAGCATCTCTTAAAATTAAAACAGCTAATTGCATTAAGGTCTGTGTGTTGAAGAGATTATACTCTTGCTTAGAGTTTGTTTTTCCCCCCTCCCCATCTTCAATATCCCTGATGGGGTCCACAGCTGTGAGAGCAACAGTGTGCATGACAGACTGCCTCACGATTGGCAAGCCAACTGGAAGGAACACCGAGACCCACAAGGATTGCTGGACCCAGAGGGCTTTCAGCTTGTGAGAACAACGAGCTAATTAAAGTCTAAATAAAAGGAATGTCCTTCTAGCTGAAGTAAAGACAAATAAATAAATGCCTGCGTGTTGTTCCAGAGGACTGAATAAAGACGAAAATATTTGTGTCGTGTTTACCTAGTAACGTCTCTTTAATTGTGAAAGGGGGTCCGTCAGCAGACTTGGTGAATATATGCAAATGTACAGCTCCTGATTTCCTTTTAATCTATTGTTTTAATAGGAGGGGTTCGGCAAAGGTAATGAAAAGTATGTGTTTTCTTCATATTTTTTGATTTGTTTAAAAATGTTAAAGTTTAAAGTTTTAAAAACCGCAGTATGCATTTTCAGCAAATGTGTTCTTACCTGCTGCTTCCTTGTCACTGGCGAGCTCTGCTGCTGCTCACACGCTGGTGCTTCGCACGCAGGTCTCACTGAAGGGGCTGTATGCTTTGTTTGCAGACCTATGGTACAGTATATGCTACTAATGCATCACTTTAGTTCTTCTTCAGTTATGAATATAATTTTAGCCTTCCCATCCTTATGTAGTGTCAATATGAAAAGAAATAGGGGCACTTAAAAAAATGATCTCATACTGATGTTTTATTTCCTTTAAATGTTCTGTGGGCCACTTTTTTTTCAGTTTGTTTAACTAAACCTAGGCTAAATACATGTTTAGGGAGGTATACCTAAGACAGCTATTTAGGAGTGAATTTAATTTCAGTCGTGTGTAGGCCATTAAGACTATTTGTATTTAAAGTGAAGCACTTGCTGAAGCGCTTTGCTGAAATGGGCCCTCGAAAGAGTCTAATTTTGGAAGGACTGAGCAGTCGCAGTTCTCAGCTAAACCTCATCTTGAGGGTCCTTGAGAAATTAGGTTCCCAAACAGAAATTTGAGTCTCTCTAGGCACCCGTTCTGAGAAGATGTGGCCACTGAGTTAGGTCTCGATTTTCACGTCTCCCATTCTCACAAATGAGAACAATGGGTGCGAGACTCCATAAAGAGACCGTCAGACTGCTAAAGAAAGCTGCAGCGGTGTGTAGTCGGCAGTCTTGATCTAACATCTGCTGAAAAGTGTAATCTCGCTATTTAAAACACAAAAAAAAATATGAATAAAGTAGTTGTTTGATAATCTATTGAAAATCTAGCACTAACCTTTTTGTGTTGTACCCCTTAAATGTTGTAAAGATTCATTCCTGACTGTATATGTAACAAATATTAAACATATTTAAATTGTAATTCCTTTAAGAGAATACTGTGGAGTGGGAAAAGAAGTAAGAAATTGGATGCCTGGCCTAGGAAAACAAACAGACACAGCAGAATGAGTAGAGAAAACATGTTTTTCTGCTTATTTTACAAGCAGGAGAGTGTAAAGGAAACAATTCTCTCATTACATGTGTATGAAAATAGGCTTTGAGAGTGACTTCTCCAGGCATGAGAACTCCTAGTATTTTCCTGTTACGTTGATCCTCATCTGCTCATTTGTTCAAAAATGAACCAGAGGTAAGTTTTTACTGAGACGTCCTGCAAAGTTTAGCACAGGAATAGCACACACATAAACACGTCCTAATCATGAAACAAGGGCAGCAATATCTCAGCGAACTGCGTAGAATCAGTCAGTGCTCACTTCTGTTGTCAAGAGGCAGCAAAAGTAGTCCAAAAACTGATTAATGCGATTTTTAATTCTGGTCAAAGCTCAGAAGAAATGCTTGGATGGATGAAAGGAATAAGCTGGGGTTGATTAAAAGAAAAAAAGGGCAAAGAATCTCTTGGTAGGCAGGATGTGCAAGTTCTCAGGATTATTTAGTGAAAAATAGGCCAAGTTCAGCCTTTGTCTAAATCATCTGACCTTAATCTACTGCGGGAGAAGTTAAAAGTTAGTCTGTTCAAATGAACTCGGCACGCTGGCCAGCTTTTAACTCTGCTGACTGCCTTCTCCCTGGCTCCGTACTCTGCAAAAATCCCAACTGCTGCATCATTAGTTATTCTTGCTCCAGTCGTCGGCTGTGCTCTGCGGTGGCAGAGGAGAGAGATCATTCCAAAGAAGCTGTATTAAATTTGTGAAGTGGGTTGGCACCCTGGCTGTGGGCATCTAGATACCTTGCAAACACAGATAAGGAACCGATAGTGTTAGTTACATGCAGTACAGCCTGCAGTTTGTGTAATATATAGATTGAAGGAGGTAATTAAATACTGCAGCACTTTGTAACCTTTCAGTATGCAAACTATGTGAACCCGAGAAAGTTTTAGTTTTGGAAATCCTCTGAATACTTCTCACTTATGTTGCAATACAAGGACCTGAGGAAATGCTCACTTTAAGTTTAAAGGACCACTGTTACATTCGTAGCTTCTGGTTTCCTCTGAAGATGGGAGAATCCTGAAGATACGTTTGTATGATTGTTACGCAGCACAGGATAAAAGTTCTGGGTGAAATCCAGTCCATCTCGTATGTCTGTGTAGTTTCATCCATCTACATGCGTGATGAAGCAGTCTTCCTAAAGTATATGCCTGGAGTCCATACGTAACTGAGAGGCATTGATAGGTGCTTTGGAAGGCTTCCCTGGTGAGAGGATGTCTGCTATACTTTTGGCCTCCAAGCTGGGTGGCTACGAGTCTCCTTCTAGAGACTACAGAGATACCGTCCTCCCCCCATTAACTGCATAGGCAAACACTTGCTGTGCAAGCACTTAAAACCCAGGTAGAGACTCATGCCTCAAGTGAGCTATATCCAATCAAATGCTTTTGCAAAAAAGCAAACATTATTCACCCTGACATTTTATTTTCTCCATACATTATCGTAATGATTTCTCCCTTCTAGAACACAACTGGAGAGGATTTCAGCAGAGGGAGGTTTGCAAAAGTGAGGAATTCCGCCCATAACAAAGCCAACTTCAGTCAAAACAGACATTCATGCTTCTAGTGCCTGCTGGGTTAACGGTGTCACTGAGAAAACAGTCTCCTGCCTGCAGAGCGCATACAGCTCCTCAGTTTTCCCTGCCAAAATGTGTGTGGAATAGGGAGAAACTAATGGACCGTACATAAAAGCGTTGCTGCACATTGCTGCACATGATGGATCAGGGATATCTCCATGTACGTGTGGGTACCAAAGGTGTAATTTCAGTGGAAAAATTGGACTCTTCCCAAGCATCCGCATATCCCTCCACCAAAGTAAATTGATACTTTACATAGGGAACACTGAAGACTCTCTGGGACGTGTGTCCAGCAGAAACATGCTGCGGGTACTCGTGCTCCTTAAAAATCATCTGTTTTCATTTGTGTCTCTCCATTTCCAGAGCTCCCAACACAGTGGCTCCTCTACCTCATTAGCATCCACCAAAGTTTGCAGCTCTATGGATGAAAATGATGGACCTGCAGAAGGTAACATTTGAAGGCTGACATTTCAGAGCAGTCAATGTAGTGATAACAGCAGCTGTGTAGGAAATGAGTCATTCTTCCTGCCAGAGAAGGTGGGAGCGTTGCGGGCTGGATGACTCTCTGTGAGGAGGCTCATCAGTCTTAGCAAACCAGTTAGATTCACTCTGGATCAGATTGGATCTGGACATCTTTATTCAGAGGTGTGTTTGTTGCATGATACTCTAGATATTAGTTCTGCAGGTGTCACAGTGCTGACTGTATTATTTCACTAATTTTTTGCCTCGTCTGGCACGGTACTAAAGAACATGCTGCAGTCCTGGGTCTTTACTCAGAAATGATTAGTCTCACCCCATACTAAGGCTTTGAGCAAGTTGGCTAAGGGATAGTGTCTGCTCCAATACTGCCAGTTGACGCGCACATATACTCTGTGTGTGTATGCTTGCGTCTGACAGTAACTCTTCATGCTGCCTGTGAATTCAGGCAAACCCCAGCCTCCTTGTATCATAACATTCACTTTTAATACTAAACTGGAACAAAGGACAGATAAAGATACAGTTAAAAGCACTGTCTTAAAGAGTGTAAATTCAAGCTGCATTTTTGAGAGGCATTTTTTTTACTTTACAATATTTATATGGTAGTTTGTATCAGCTGCAGTTTACAATCAGCTTTTAGAGGCATGTTAGGTATTTGTAACACGCTATTTCAAATACATTTAAAAATAATGGTACATGACTGAGCACTAAAACACATGAAACTACAAACTTTTCTTATGCTTAGACACTGTGTAATGCAATTTCACCTAAACATCTGGTGCCCAGGTTGCATGCGAGGTAGTATTATTGAGAACATTTGTTTAAAAACTAAATATTTAATATTGGGGGAGGGGGAGAACTAGCACTTAGCACATGAGGAGTTTTATGGATGTCTCAGTTTACAGGATGTAATAAAATAAGTGCTTGAGTGTTGGACTTCTTTGGTACATATATTTAATCATGCTGTGTCAAGGAGTTCCAACCCTTTTTGGAGGCTGGTCTGCGCTTGTGCAGATCACAGAGGCCTTTTCATAATTAAAAAAATACAATTTTGGTTTTGTCCTGGGGGCATATTGCAATGGGAATGGTAAACTATGTAACACTTGAATGGTGGTATGTTTGAGCCCCAGAAGTCTTATTTTTCATTATTGTATCTGTGTGAAACCTGTTGAGTATATACAATGTCAGCAGCATGGTTTCACTGTACAGTAAGTGAGGTACTGACTCTGAATGGTTTCCAGGCTCCTAAACCATAGACTTAAAATGCATGTTATGTGCAACATCTGTGTTTCCTTCACTAACAATAAAAATGTACTAATGATTCTTTCAGAAGTGTTGGAGGAAGGTTTCCAGGTTCCAGCATCGATAGCAGAGCGATATAAAGTTGGAAGGACTATAGGAGATGGAAATTTTGCTATTGTGAAGGAGTGTATAGAAAGGTGAGGAGGATAATATGCTTATTACTGTAAAAATAATCATTAATGTCATGCTTTTTCTAGATCGTGTCTTTATTTGTATAATATAGGATGTGTAATAAGGTAATGTCTCAATGCCAGATGGAAAAACTAGACTAATGCCCTCTCATATGAAAAGAGTGAGTCCAAGGGACAATCTATTAATTTAATTCTTTGTGGGGTTTATATGGATTTCTTTCTGCTGCACTCCGCATGATTTTAACAGTTCTTTGTGTTAAATCTTTCTTGTTGCACTGAAATAACATCTTTTCTTGCAGTATATTCTTGCAACTCTCCCTTTACATTAGACCGATGAAATATTTCACATGTAGGAGCATTCTGTAAAGAATGTAATGTTGGGAAGTTTTATGTGTGCGGTGTAGTGGTGGTGGTCAGCACAAAGAGCTGACTGTGGATCCACCTATTCTGCCATCTGACACTGAAGAGTAAACTCTTCCATGTTTATCTTTAATTAAATGGGCATCTATCTCCCGCTTGCCTGCTTTAAGACATTATATGAGCTCCATCCAACTTTAGGAGCCTGCACTGCAGACATCAAAATCTAACTTCTTCAGTGCCCTTTACTGTTAAGAGGTGAGAACAGTCACCCTTAAAGACTGATTTTAGAAATCCACTCCAGGTTAGAGAAGTCACAAGTCACCTCAAACATCGGTGTTTCTAAATCTGGTCATGCAGGTCGTGAACCAGGTTTGAACTGGCTCTACCCAACGTTAAGAGTGTAAAAAATAGGGAACAAAGACAGAAATGCTCTGAGCAGAACTGCAGGTGCCTTTTGGTGGTATTGTTAAAAATAGGAGAAAATGGGGTAAAAAAGACAGAAGGTACCTGTGTGTGAAATGATTGTAACGTTGCCCATGTTAGACAGTAGTGGTGCAGAGAAGGCAAAAAACTGCCAGAGCTAGAGATGTCCAAAAGAAAGAACAATAGAGATGTCAAGGTCTGATAACAAAATTCCACAAGTGAAGTTTTATATCCCCTACTACCATATCCTAGAGAGGGGACTCTTACAGAAGACTGTAACCTCTCCTTTGGGCTCAAAGAAAGAACTTTTGCCCTTTAGCCTGTAAGAATGCGATATTAACCCTAAAGGGTAAGTCAGGATTAGATCTCATGGCAGATGGTGATAAATAAGCTTGGCTGGTTTTAAGCTAGAGTCTCTTTGGAAAAAGACAGGTCCCACTCTGCAACTGAAAGAGTCTGGCAAGTCGGAGACCATGAAGACAGCTGTTGGGGAAAGGGGGAAGAGTGGATTCCGTATCAGCTGACGGTGTGCTTGTGGGACTTGGCCAAAGCTCTTGCGAGGCCTTTAGAGCTCTGTCGGAGTGAGTTCATGGTGGAGCTGGTCATCCAGAGGGCGATAGCTGTTCAAACGCCAGGGTCTGAACACTAAAATGGGGAATATGGAAACCTAAAAGAAGCAAAGCAAAACAATATGAAAACAAGAAAACACTGTAAAACCCTATGGAGGGGGCATGACTAATGAAAACCATGGGTGAAAACATGTAACTAAGGAAAGAGAAAAAGGCAACCTAAAAGTAAAGTGAGTAGTGACTGAGAGAAACGGATTACAAGGAAAAATAAAAAAAGGTTGAGGTTTTGATACATTGTCATTCAGCTGAAAATGCCAGTTGTGCCGAGACAGTTCAAATGTGCTAGTGTGCATTTTACAACTCTTTCTCAAGCTGAGAGAAAAGACATGAACAAAATTAAATATGGGTCCCACCACACCTAAAAATAATACTGATTACAGTATCCTCCAGAGCTTAAATGAAAACTGTTTCCTGTCCTTTTGTCTCTCCTCCTGGTCCCAGAAATATCCGATAACACAATGTATCTAGTGAATATGTGCTCAAATAGCATGGTTACTCAGGTATTCCCAGACATATATATTCCCAGACAGCCTGCGGTTCTGCAGCTTACTCTTACGGTCTCTGAACCATACCATTCCATAGATCCCACTTATATCAGAGAGTTACTACTTTGGGAGAGCTTGAAAATTAAAGTAGAATTATTTCTGTTAGTTTCCACTTCTTAAGCAGTATACCCTTGCCATCACAAGTGTGGAAGGAGAAATTAAAGGCTCAGGGGGTAAATTAAAGCCAGTACATGTAAAACCCCTTCAAAAACATTCTTCACAGTCTTTCTAAGCAGAAAACACCTCACTTCAAAGTCTGATATGTCCATCATTTGCAGAGCCAGAATTGATGGGGTGATGCTTGGGACAGAGGACTTTTCCACTTTCTTCTGACTTACAATTCCTATGTGCATTAGACTTCAAAGAAATAGCACCATGAGGTGTTAAGCAAGTAGGAATGGGCCATGTTACACATCTTCACTGATCGCATGGATACTGCATAGCTGTGGAGTCCAGCCCGTGTGCACTGGTTAGCCACTCTGATGCTTCAAGTGCGTTCACAGGCATCTTCCTCTGACAACGAACAGTCTAAATAGAAACCAAAAACCATCTTCAAAATTTTCACATCGGGACTTCTAAATCCCATTCTGTGCATCTGTGAATGCACGGGCACGCACACACACACAAAAATACATTTAATGCGCACGCAAAAATGCTGAAGATAGATAGATTTTTGTCTCCAGTGCAATGGAAATCTCCGTGAACTTTGCACAAGGTTAAAACAGCCAGGGAGCATGGCACGGAGCCCTGTTACGAGCTAGAGGTCTAACTCCGTGCCCTGCATTAGTGCTGTGGGTCCAGACTTTTATCCAGCCGTAACGTGTTTCCTACTTCATGTGGCACCTTTTTATTGTTTGGGTTGAATGATAGGCGAGAGGTGATATGCCCATTTCACTGAGAGTTTCTGGCGTGGCTGTGCATATTTTTTGGCGGGTGTGTAAGTTGCAGTGCTGCTGACAGCCTGCGGTTCTGCAGCTTTTTAGGGGAAAGGATTTGCATTATCTTAGCTTTAATTTTCTTTTTACCAAAACAAAGAGCAGTCAGAGTTGTCATCTGCTCGTTACATATCTGCTCCATCATATGCGCAATTTGTCCTGCGGTGTTTTTATATGGGTTCATTTTTAACTTTCAGATACTTCCAAATTCTGACATTTCCTCACTAGCTCAGATTTCCCAGTGTTTTGGAGTACATGGAGTCTCCCATGGCCAACAAAAACCATCAATTTCCTTTCTCATGACAGAAAGGAAGCATTCCTAGGGCAACCGAGCAGCTTGAAAGAAACTCCTATCGAAAGAGGGCATATTTTGTCTGAGTTTGAACCCCAGATATCTTAATTTCTAATATTGCTTCTCCTACCTCCTCCTTCCATTCCCCCAGAATAGCGTTCATACCTCTGCCTGTCCCCTCACTGAGCTGGGACTGTAGCTGCCAAACAGCAGCACCGGGAAGGGGCACTCCATGTGGAGTGTGGCCCATTTCTGGGGGCTGTAGCATTAAACCCCGTTGTGGGGGAGTATAGATATGAGAAGGTTTTAATTTTTCTTTGCTTAAGTCTTGAACAGCCGTGCTGTACTTCTTTCCCAAGTCAGAAATGTCATCATCCAGTGTGATTTCTTTGCACAGTTGGTTAATTGATGTCTTAATACAGACTGTCTTTGCTCCCTGCTGACCTGGGAACTCAAACAGAATTAATATTTTGGTTTTTTTTTTTTTCTTTTTAATGAAGTCCCCATTTTCCCTTAAATTAATACCTAGTGGTACATCATTGCCAGAGGATAATGCCCATGCTTAAATATGGCAATGAAAATGCCCAGTCGTTTTCTTAATGCAGTGCTTTCAGTTTATGACTCACTTTGCATGTCCTGCTTGACAGACTGCACACACTTTCAGGCACATTCATTTCTCTATTTAACTTACTATATATCAATTTAATGTATCAATTTAACTATGTTTTGCTAAATGAAGAATGAAAAAAACCCACCCCATATGCTTGAGAGGTTATTTTTTTCTTTATTTTTTAACCAAACATATGCCTAAGGGCAATGTATTCGACTTTTGTAAACTCTTTAGATTTTTATTACAAAATGAAAGTGTTTCAGTAAGAACTTTTTCTTATATTATCCATTCTTCATTTAACCTTATAGTGAAACTAGAGCTTGTGAACAGAGCTTCTTGGTATCGTCCTTATAGCCATCTTCAGGTTTTGTAACTTGGTTAAAAAATATTTAATATTGTTGTTGATATTATGAACTTGTCTACGAGCTTAGTTTTCTGTTAGCATTCTATATAATAAATATCTATGTATGTGGTAGTGAAAAATATTACATGGTTTCCAAAAAAAACCACCTAAAAGGAAATGTGTTCTTATCCTGAACTAATTCTCTATAATTTCTTACTGTCTCCAGAACCTTTCATATTCTGTCCCATAAACATCATATTTAACTCTGCTAGGTATCATATACTTACTGAATACAAAAAATATTGTTCCTAAGACTGACTTTTTTATTTTAGTAGTTGCGAGTGCTAAGGTAAAACAAATGACTCTTCATTTTAAGTAAAAAAATAAATGTATTTTCCATGGCTTGTATTTTTTTTGTTTAATAGAAAACGAAACTTTTTGTTTTTGAGAAGATTTGGATCTGTAAATACTATATAATATTTTTACATAAAACTGCGGAAGAAATAACGAATACCACTACAAAATGAAAAAATCAAGTGATTTTGTTTCAAAAACATTGAAATGTCTTCATTTAAAAAAAAAAATGCTTAATGCTTTTTTCTTGGGCACACATATTCAATAAATGTGGCTCAAGTTCACAATTCCAGACAGATCCAAGCCTCATTTCTCAACAAAACAAATACTTGAATAGAATTCTTGCCCAGACCTACTGTGCTCAAATGACAAATATAAACTCAACTGAGAAAAATAGTCAATGTGATTGAACATACAGTTTTTTCTTTTCTCTTTCCTCAGATCAACTGGTAGAGAATATGCTCTGAAAATAATCAAAAAAAGTAAATGTAGAGGAAAAGTAAGTACAAAAAAATCAAATGAGACCAAAAGATTTTTTTTTCCAAGAAATATTTTGTGAGAGATCACTCTGGGAAGCTGTTGGTATTTGTCTTCTTCCTGGCAAGTGTAAGAATCTTTTTTTTGAAGCCTTTGCCTGCCCTCTGGAGACCCTTGGAGTATCAGTATAAAAGGCTGCAATGTGCCTTTCTAGATGCGTGTGTTGATTCTCCAGTTGGTTGGTTGTGGGTGGGTACACTCACTCCCCTTGCTCTTTATCCCTGCAATTATGTCCTCTAGCTTTCATAATCCCAGATGTTATAGAAAACAAAAATATAATACTAATAATTACAACAACACCGGTCACTATGTCTAAACAGTATGCAAGGTTAATCAAATTGATGTCAGTTTTATAGTAAGTGAATTTCTGTTACCTTTTGAAATCTATAACAAATGTTCTCTGAGAAGAAGCTATCATATTTTTAAATGGAAAGATTCTGCATTGGAGAAAAAAATTCAGAAGCTTCCACATTTAACTTTTCTCTGCCTCAGAAATGTGTCTTTTCCTCCATTTCTTTTTCTATGTTCTATTCTGTTCTTCTTTCAGTTGTCACACTGATGTTGTTTCTAGATGTGTTCCTTCCATATTGCTGGAGGTAACATCTGTTACCTTTTTAAAAAACCCTGAAGAATCCATGCAGGTCCCAATTCTCTCTACATTTTCCACTGTACAATGGAGGTGAAAGTTTTTCCCACCAACCCACAGTCATTAAAGGTTTCTTTTGTGTGGCAGGAACACATGATCCAGAACGAGGTATCTATTTTAAGACGAGTCAAGCATCCCAATATTGTACTTCTGATTGAGGAGATGGACATGCCAACTGAGTTGTACCTTGTTATGGAACTTGTAAAAGTGAGTATTTTGGAGACAAGCTGCTTATTAAGAATTGTTTCAACCATATTGAGAAATTTCATGGTATTAAAGCTTACTAAAAATCATGGAATCACAGAATAATTTAGAATGGAAGAGGTCTCTGAAAGTAGTCTTGTCCAGCACCCTACTGAAAGATGTGTAACCCACTGTCAGATTTTTTTTTTTATAGCTTTCAAATGTTTCAAATATTTGTCTAACTTTCTGTTAGCCACACTCAGAAGTGCTCTGTGGACGGTACTTTGGAGATCACCAGTTTTATTTGCTCCCCCAAAAGAAGTCTCTTTAGAAAGTTTTATCTTAAAGAAACGCATCTGCCTTGGGGTGAACTGAAATTATACCCAGTCTGAATAGCCATAAATACCAGCCTTCAAAATTCAATATTCTTTGATAAAATGGTTTAATTAAATTTTATTAATTTATGTTAAATTTAAACAATATTACCTGTCTTTTTTCTCTACTGATTTATATTAACACATTGTCAGGCTTGCCTCCTTGATAACAATCTAAATTTAAGCTGGAGGAGGGGGGAAGTGAAAGAGAAAAACCTGCTATTTAAAGCATGGTTTTATTCTGAAAAGTAAGTTTGTGAATGCAATATTTTATATTTGGGACCCTATTTATTTCTTCATAGTAACTTCCAGATCTCATGCATTTATTTCACTTACTGGTGGAATTACATATTCAAACTGGATTATGAAACTCAGACCAGGTCATCTCTTGCCCCCATACTGTCAACAGTGCAGTGCAAGAAGTATGAATTTAGCTCTCGGTTCTGGTACTAATACACAAGCATGTCACTGTGCATAAAAGGTGGTAAAAATACATTTGAGTAAATTGTACAAATTAGGACAGGAAACCACTGAGGACATCTTGTCCTCCATACTTACTTTAACAGAATACACCTGTTTTTCACATGCACTAATGGGATTAGCGATTCTCCTTCCTTCCTCAGCTATTCTGTGGGAAGAAGATCTTTCCAGCAGCCGCCTCCATTTCTGTATCTTGATCAGCACGTTCTGCTGGGGCAGCCTATCATGCCTACACCTGGGAAATTCAGTTTTAAGTGTTTAAGGACAAAGATTACAATAAAGCTGTGCAGCAGCAGCATTTGTGTGCAGGCCTGTTGTATGTGCACGCTCAACACTTGTGAGCAAATCAGGCAGTCGGAACCCTGGCAGCCAGATAACTTGCACTTATCTTAAACTAAAAGTGTGGTCACCTTCAGTAGACATCCTCTGTATCCGTGGTTAGAAACAGGCACCACCAGAGGTCGTGAGAGAAAGCAGTTTCGGCAAGCAGGATTGTTATCTGCTTTGCTCTGGTTGTAGGTGGAGATTAGGGGATGCTCTTAATGTAGGTACCTCATCGAGATGTTAGATAGTCCCAGGTCCAAGCGTTTCTTAAAGAACTTCTCAGTCTCTGGAGAATGAAAAGTTTTTTGTTTTGTTCCATTATCCCCTGTGCTCCGTGGCAGCAGTGGTGATAGAAACCGTGTTCCCAGTGCGGAGTTGGGAAGCTGTCAAGTGTGGCCCACGGGTGGATGGCCACAGATTTTCCCTGTCCTTGTGGCAAGCTGGGACAGCCTTGTTATCCATGAGAAGCTCAGGCCACGCCCCACAGCTTAGGAGATGGCAAGATTGTCCTCTTAGGTTTGAGTCTGCCCGATGCCCTACTTGGCTTGAGTGGTGCTATGGAGCTTATGGTCCAGCTAACCCTGCTGTCCACCACCTCCAAACTCTGAGGAAGCACACTGGGGCATGCTGGTGGCAAGGAGCTGACAGGGTACCCAGCATCCCCATTTAGTCTCTGATGGAGAGGTTAAATCCTAAGAAAAAAGCAAAATACTGGTACTTTTCCACACCACGAATTCCTCTGTGTAACCAGTCCCAGAAGAATTTCTTCGCCTTCTTCATAGTCACAGCCCTCTCTTGCACTCGGGAGTGCAATGTGAAATAGCACAGCTTCGGATCAGATGCCATTAGCCATCTAACACTATTTTTATCATAATTACTGCTCTTTTCTATGATAAGTGAGCTCACTCTGAGATCCATGTTACTGTAGTTTTTTCCCGGTGTCCATGAGAGCTTGTTCAAAGGTACCTCAATACTCTTGCACAGCGTTGTAATCCAATGTAGCCACAGCTTCAGCCTGCATTGACAAATCCTTCGTCTTGGCCCCACGAGGTGTGCTGAGAAGTAAAAGCTGTGCCTTGTCTAACCTGCCAAGATGTAAGCACATAGCTGGTTTTATGGGTGCAACCTGCTGTGCTATTCATGCTTGAAAAATGTTCAAACTGTAGTCTCCAGTGGATTTTTAATCAAAGTCCTACTCAGCTAAATAAGAGAGGAGGGGACTGAAAAGTCTTACAGAATAACTAGCCTGAAAGATGTGTATAAAGAAAACCATCCATTATATTCACTTTCTGGAAAAA